GATGAAGAACAAGGCAAATATAAAGACCCGAGTCCTGATGAAAGCTGATCAGACCGACGGAGATCCCTGTCTTCGTCAATCGACCTCCTCCTGCTGATGCGATGCCTTCTTCGTCATCGATCCGGTTCTGTGGTTCGAAACGCCAAACTTCGTCCGTCTCTCTAAAGGTTTCCTTTTTAGTTCTCGGTATCAGCGTTGGGGAAAGATAGACTAGATGATTGATTTTACTTATTTGATTATTTCTGCTACTTCATTAAGCTGTACTGACCCTTGCAAAAATGATTTACTAATAAAATATTTAGCATACAGAGAATCTAAAAGATGTTGTGGACATTCAATTAATGAGTCACCTCAAAGTTACTTGATGGTAGTAAAATAGCTATGATGTTTGATTCTGGGGAAGAAAACTAGGTCATGTTTTATAGGTTGCTTTAGCCCAAATTTAAAACAACATCCTTGGGACTCGCCAGAGTCACTAAAACCGACCTGATTCAGTTGTAATAAAGAGAATGTTAACAGATGAGCTCGGTCAAACTAGTTGGCTGCGGGTTCCTCGGTCTGGCTGATTCACAGGGGGAAGAAGGACGACATATCTGGATGTAGGCCGTAGAAATCGGGAACGTTCCTCTCTCCATCCCGGCTTCCGCAGAGTTCACTTCAAATCCCAGCAGATTTAGGAAACTCGATTCACCCGTTAGATGGAGAGCTGGTGGCACATCTCCCCTCTCAGAAGAGGAAGTAGTGACTGAGAGAGGAGAGCGAAGGAGGGGCAGGGGTGAGAGGTCACAGCAACAACAGCCTTCTACGCTACTGGAGGAGAGTCGTCGGGGAGTCACTTCGGGATCCGCCGTCCCGGGACCGTCCTCCCGCTCTTCCGCTGTGCCTGTTTCTCTCGTCGTCGACGGCGAACCGTCAAAGTTTGAAAACGTTTGCAAGACTTATGAGGGGAAACCGTATATTTGAGCCGCCTGAAATCATTTGTGTCCCCTCCAAAACATGGGAATCCATTGATTTACCAGAAAAATGTTCATTTCTTCATTGAGGGCCTTGGGATTTAAATTATCTTTCCAAAGCTGTCTTTCATCAAAGTCAAACGCGGTCCTCAGAATGGAATTGATTAATCCTTATACAATATACATCAATTAGCTCATCACACAAAACCAAGAAACAACATTAATGTTATTATTTGGAGTCTTTATACAAATTGTTTTCATGATTACTATTATTTGTATGTTTCTCCACAAGAAATCTCTACTCAGCCCAAACTTCATACATTAACATGAAATCTCAAAACATTTAGCTCAGGAATTGGTAATCAAATGTTTTCAAACTTACACAATTTGTTCTTAATAATGAGAGGAATAAACACCATTAAAGACTTGGCGTCATATTGATTTGAGCCCGTGTTTTTTGAGGGGGAACGGATCGTTTCGGGTGGCTCAAATATAGGGTTCCCCCTTCTGGAAAACAAGAAGAAAATGCTACCAAAATCACAGGATTTATTCTTGTTCATGACAGTAATAAATTTGCTCCTTGTTTGCCAGAAATATGAGGCGGGAACCATATATTTTAGATTACTAACATAATCTTTAGCTCCTCTATAAAATGGAAACAAATTCATTTACCTGCAAATCCTTAACTCATCATCAACAACAAATCCTGTGATTTTGGTAGCATTTGCTCCTTGTTTGCCAGAGATATGAGGGGGGAACTATATATTTTAGACATCTGAAATTATCCGTTCCCCCTCAAAAAACATGGGTCAAATTAATATGTCGGCAAGTCTTTCATTCTGTTTATTCCTCTCGTTATCAACAACAAATCGTGTAAGTTGGAAAATATTTGCTCTTTATCTGTCAGAGTTATGAGATGGACCATATATTTTAGCCGCCTGAAATAAATACATTCATTTACCAGAAAAATGTTCATTTCTTCATTTCTGAAAGGTAAGGGGCCTTGGGATTTAAACTATCTTTCCGTAGCTGTCTTATATCAAAGTCTTGTAAGGATACATATCAAACACAGTTATGAAAATTAATTTATTAACCATTATACAATATACATAAATTAGCACACCATAGCAAACTCAATAACCTTAGGTTGTGAGGATAACATTAATGTTATTATTTACAGTGTTTATGAAAATTGTTATCATGATTACTATTATTTGTATGTTTCTCTAAACAAATCTGTCCTTAACCCAAACTTGATACATGGACATGGAATCTGAAAACATTTATTTCAGGAAATTGTCTAGAAATTAATAAATAGAATCAATTAAGCTATGGAAACACAGTTTAAATCCCAAGGAGACTTATCTTTGAGACATGAAGAGAACATTTTTCTGATAAATTTAGTTCCCATGATTTGGAGGGGAAACATTATTTCAGGTGGCTCAAATATTTGGTTCCCCCCTCATATCTCTGGCAAACAAGGAGAAAATGTGACCAAAATCACAGGATTTATTGTTGATGATGAGAGAAATAAACAAAGAAAAAAACTCTTGCTGGTAAGATTATTTCATCCATTCTTTCCTCTCCTTTCCCCATAAACTTGAGGAATAAAGAACAACTGTTTCCAAATTCTCTAAAATCTTTACATGACCTCGTTTATTTATTTATTTTACAATTTTTTTAAACAACAGCTGCCAATTAGACTGAATGTTACAATCTTGACATTATTATACGAGTTGTTTAACCGACAAATCGATCAGAAGCGACGTGAAAATGGTCAGATCCGCCTCGTTCGCCTCTGGCTGTAACGCGCGCTCCCGACACAAAGGCAACATTGATTTTCACAGGGGAACCAAATTTCGCACTAGACCTCTCCACGACACATGAAAAGCTCAAAGTTCAAAGGCTACACGTCATCATTCTTCCTAAAGATGAAGACGTGGAAACAGCGCCCCCTTCACTTCCGGAGTGCAGTGGTCCCATTTCCACAGAAAGAACGAGATTTGCGGGAAACAGTTCCGTTTCCCGCAAATCTTGGGAAGCTACGTCACCTGCAGCGCACTAAGCTAGCTGCTGACAACGATAGCGCTCAAACCTCGGGGAAAAGCGAGCCGGGGCGTAAAAACTACAAACATTACCTCTAAGTCACTTACCTGTTGGAAAATGGCCGCCGCAAACTCACGCGTCGTCAGCCGCAGATTGGTGATCCGCTTTACTCTGATTTATTTAACTCCGTTGTCACAAAACGTTTTTTTCTTTCGCTCTATCTAAACAAGTGGAACTCGTACTTTAGCCATCTTGAACTTGCCTTTCTCGTTTTGGCCGCCATTGCGTGACGTTCGCATTACGTGCTCTCAAATCCAGCAATACTTTGGCACACTGCCCCATCTAGTGGCCGAACCCAGAAAATACACTTCGAGTGCCTGAAACGGTCAAACCTCAGTCACTGGAGAGGAGAGGAAAAGGGATGTTGAAAGCAAAAGCCGCTCGGCCTTAATTAGTAAAAACGAGCAAACGTTCACCCCGCGAGCAGACGACCTCCTTCCATCTCAGCCACACAAATAGACACGTGCACGTCGGTCCATCTTTACAACTTTATTCTCTTTGTTCTCATGATTTTACAAATATGATACTTCTGCAATTCAACTTTGACTGTGCAACACAATGGCGTTATGGACCGTTAACCTCCACGTCCCGAGAGACGTCCGTGACTCGGGAGGTTGTGAATCCTGCGGGCCGCGGGTGTCTCGCGAATATCCTCGCCTGCCGGATTCGCTAGCGGCTCGTGGGTGACGTAATGACGGCTGCTTTCGGGTCGGAGGGCGACTCCTCGGACGTGGGCTCGAAGTCAGACGGTCTCTTTGGATGAGGCTGGTCGGTACCGGTCGGGGCGGCTCGTCTTTCTTGGAAATGGGTGATCTAGCCACGTAGGTTTACAGATGAGAACGATGGCGTGCGAGACTCGTGTATGGACCCGCTTATTTCTGGTATTCTTTTGTTTTGTATTTTCTCTCCGTTTCTAATCAAAAACAAAACAAAAACAACATTCCGACATGGTGGGAAACGCCCGACGGCCGAGCTTATCTAACTATACGGAGGACGAGTGATTTTTATTTCTTTTTTGCTCGGTATGGCGGCTAAAACCGTTTCGACGCGACAGCTGGCTTCTTTTTGTATTCGACGAGTCCCTTTTGTGAGGACGCGATAATACATCTCGCAGTTAGATTATCTCCTCTTTTTTTGATTTACAAAAGTATGTGCTTTGGATTCCAAACGACTGGGTGAAGGGAGTTTTGCATTTCGGTACTGGTTCTACCTCCGGCCCCCGCCGGCTACTTTTATTGCGGATGAAGTGATAGAGAACCTCTGAACGGCGACACACACTTCGATATGGCACAAGCGTCTGAGAGATGTCTGACAGATGACCGAGAGATGACCGAGATATGACGATGTCGTCGTCGTCTGCGTAAGGGGGAGAATGTCCGCAAACCAAACCACGCCGTATCTGAAAATATTAAGAGGGTAGTCGATAGGTAAGAAAACATGCGGTCCGACGCTCTGCAAGCAAAACCGTCCAAACAAAAAAACACTAAAGAAAAGAAACGCTCCGCTTCTAAAAACGCGTGTTTTTCCGGGGCTGGATGAGGATTCCTTCTCTTCGGAAATCGCACGCCACCCGTCCGCCTGCGACGTCGCGCCGAGACGTCCCGTGTGCTCCACGCGCTCGGCTTTGGCACCGTGCCCGAGGTACCCGGCCGGAAATCTGGAAACCCAAACGCCCCCCGCGCCCCGTACCCGCTTCCGACCCCCTCCCCCACTTGTTGAGGATCTAGTTGTCTCTAGAGTGTCGAGGAGACATCTACCGTGAAGGCGTTTTCCCCCGGCCCTTTCTTCGACTAGAAATAAATATTGTTTAAAGTGAGGGCGAATCGGTAAACGACAACAAAACGGAAAAAACCCAAACGAAACAAATAAAAACTTGTAGTGGCTTCCTGCTCGGTCAAACAAAGAAAGAAACGTTACGAGGGAGGACGTATCTAGAGCGGTGGTCGTTTTGCCGTGGCGACGGCTATGTCCGAACGACGACCTCGGTTTGTCGTGTCCTTTAGAGCGGCTTCGCTCCGTCCGATCCGAGGCTCCGCCCGCTCCCGTCGGAAGAGGGCCGCTCAGTCGGCGTAGTGCATGATGGATTCCACGTAGTTTCCAGGGAAGAGACCCGTGGTGCCGTTCATCACGCCCTCGAACCAGCCGTCGTCGTTCTTCTTGATGACGTAGATGATGGCGCCCTCCTGGAAGGACAGCTCGTCCTCTTTGTCGCGGGTGTAGTCGTAAATGGCCACCACTGCGACAGAAGGACGCTCGGATTCAGAGGCCTGATTCTTAAGTGCGCGTGTACCTTTTCTCCTTTCTGAGCACAAACCTTTCTCCAGATAGCTGCGCGGGGCCCATGGCGGGTCCTCCTCGGCGTACGGGTCTGTGTACTCCACCACCGCCGACTCCTCTTCCTCCTCCTCGTCCTCGTAGTCCTCGGGCGGAGGCGGGGGCGGGCCGGGCTCCTCGAACTCCGGCTCGTCGGCGGGCGGCGGCGGGTCCGAAACTGCGGGGAAACGACGGAAACTCTGGCTGACTCGTTTGGAAGGAAACGGAAGGCCCGGAAAGCGGCGGCGGGTTCGGGACGTAAACGGGGGTGCCGCGCGGGTTCGGGAAAACGCGTGCTGACGTGGAAACGGATACGACGCGTGTGAAATGAAAGAAACGTCCCACGGCGACGTGCTTTAGTGACGGGAACCGCCGACGTCCGAAAACCCAAACGAAAAGACGAGACGCCGGCCGACGGGGAGGGAGGAGGTCGGGTAGAGGGAGCGATGCGCTAAAACGCTACTTGCTGGTCTCCTGAACTCGGGCCGCAAAGCCCGTGAGAGGCAGCTGGGGGCGAACTGCTTGGAGGGGGGAAGGGGCGCGTGTGGGCCCGCTACCGCCGGTACACGCGATCGGACGCCGGCGTGTGGTCGGAGAGGATACGAGAGAAGCGCGACAGAGTTTAAAGTTCAGAGAAAGAGGAGCAGAAACTCTAGAGAACAAGTACTCTGAATATTCGCTACAGTTTCGCTCTTTTATCTCTATCGAACTTGGTAAAGTGAATATATTTGAAAGGAGAAGGTAAAAAGCTCTTTGTCGAGTCGACGTTCTACAAACGGACGATTTAAAGTCAAAGAGCAAAGTCTCCCGATGTCCGACGGAAAATGATTAGGTGAAAGAAAAAAAACGAGCCGTAGATCGGGTTCCTCTGCGACCTAAAGGCTTCCATATCCAAACTAAACGGAGGCTAAAGCGTCTGACTAAATCGTCTGACTAAATCGTCTGACTAAATCGTCTGACTAAATCGTTTATATAGTTCGCCTCGCAAAGTTCTCGATACGTGTTAAAGTGGTAGGAATGGGACGGGTGACTTTCTGAATGTTCGACGTGCTCCGTCGTACCGAAACGTCTGCCGCGGTCGTGAAAGTTAGGGAGCGAGTCCGGATCCCGTTCTGCGTTACCTTGGTTTTGGGCAAAGTGCGGACCCCCGTTCGGCTGGCTGTGGTTGGGGTGGGCCGTGTCGGGCCGGCCCGTGACCGACGAGGGCCGGCGGAACGGTAGGGACCCCCCGACCTGGGGGTTCTGGGGCTCCTGCTGCTGCGCCGGGCGGTTTGTGCTGTAGAACTGAGGTGCGCCTGGGGACGGGCGACGCCAGGGGGCGGCGGAGACTCCTCGGTTGGTGAAAGAAATGACAAACGTTAACATTTAGGAACAGATGAAATCAATGATATCGGGCTGATTCTGCAACGGCTTACAAACAAGATGCTTGGTGCTAATTCGTTACCGTATGATTAAGCTGCCATCAATTACACCGTCTGTTGTTTACCTTAGTTGCTACTGATAGAAATAGACAGAAAAGGTCAATGATTCATGATGTTCAAGGTGAGAAAAGTCAATCAACTGCCTTTTAGGGCAGGAATTTGACCAGGGAAGAAAAAGCTGAAAGCAAATAACGGGAAACAAACGGGGTGAAAAAGAGAAAACGCCGAAACTTCTGGGTGGATTTCCACACTCTTCTGTGTCGTATTTAATATGTGAAATAATGGCAATGTGTGTCTGGAAACTACGTGACACCTACGCCTTTAAAAGAGATTCAATGTAATGATTTAAGGCCTCTGTCTCTTTAAGAAGTTCCTGCTCTTTCTAAAACTCCGCCTTTGGGAAGTCGTCGCCACGCCGCTCCTCCGTTGAGCCTTTAAACAACGCTTTTCTCGGCGTTTCGCAGAGAAGCGGCTCCTGCTCCGAGCTCGGCAGACGCTCGGTTCCGCCGGTCGTTTGCCGATCGCTGCCGGCTGGTCTGAAGGAGCCGAGATGGGGAGTCGCAGCTTGAAAGCTTGGAAACTGAGGCTCAAAGGCGAAGCTTGGCTCCCCCAGGCGTTTTACGCAGCAGAATGGTTGCCGTGGGAGATTAAAGGATTTCTCAAACATGCGTTAAAAAAAAAAGGAAACGCTGCAGGTGTGTTTTGACGGGGGAATGACATTATAACGCGATGTAAAACCCGCAAATAAAAACAATAACAAAACACAATATTACGTAATAAAAGAGGATGGAGGTCCTTAAGGAGCGAGTTGCGTCTCGGTGCGTTTGTTTCCCACCTTTGGACGCAAACGCACCAGAGAAAACCCGACGACTCTTTGATTGCAGCAAAGAACCTTTACGAGAAAAGCGTGGGGCGGTGGGATGAAGGGTGGTGGTGGGTTGGGGGGGTGCAGGGTGGACTTCTTCCACTCACCTTGTGCGGGGTTGCCATAAGAAGCGGGGCCGGTGCCTGAGGGGGCCACGGAGGCAGGAAGCTGAGGAGGGGGTGGGGGCACAGGCGGGATCTCTACAGAGGGGTTAGGGACCTGTTGTGGGCTGTCTAGGACGGAAGGAGGTGGCCCGGGGGTGGTGGCGGTGTTAGGGGGAGATTTGGCCGTGTTAGATGGGAGAGGGGCTGAACCTGATGGGTAAAAGTGAGGGGGTTAAAGGTCAGGAAGGAAGGAAGGAAGGAAACAAACAAACAAACAAAAGAGAGAGGTGAGGGAGGGGAAGAACGGCAGATCAAAAGTACAACTCTACGCTCGGATTAGTTCCGTTAGTTTCTGGCCGAGGAGGCTCGACGACGCCCAGGGTTACCTGGGAAGACTGTGGGTGGGGCGGGAGTCGGCACGACGATGGGCACGCCCACGCTGCCGCTGCCGCTGTTCTCTCGGCTGCTGCTGCGACTGCTGCTGGGGTGGCTTCCTCCGCTGCTCCCGCTGCTGCTGACGGGGCGGCAAGACGCGTCAGAACACACGCACGCACAAACACACACGCACAACGCGACACACGCGCCGGCTCGTTTTCTCCTTCACGTACACATATTGACGAATCGAATCGTCGTTTAAGCAGCTAATTGTGCATTTGTTTAGCTCGTAATTAGTCATTTCAAAAGAACGATAAGAGGCAAAAACGTTGTTCCACGTTCTCTCAAAGTGAAACCGTCGACAAGCGTCAAAGTGTTAGCGTGAGCCTCTGAAATGAAGCGGCTGGACGCCTGAATGAGGACAGACGACGCCGTTGCGACAGAAGAGAGATACAGAAACACACGCACGCAAACAGAAAAGTGTGTGAAAGCGGGAAGACGGTGAAGAGCTGCGTTTCCGCTGCTGATGTAGGAAAAACTGTTGACGTAATGAACGCAAACGTCAAAAAAACACCCCACAATTTGGTTGTTGTTGTGTTTCTGGTAAATAAGAAAAATGTTCAAAATCACTCGCAAATAAGTTTGTTCACACAATAAGTCACTAAAAACATCATTCTTCATTTACTTCCTGTTTGTATTCTTTACGTTCTGCACCAGCGCCAGAGGATCGTGGGAGTTGTGCCAAATATACCCACCTCATCCAAAAGCCAGAATTTTTGGGGGGTTTATTAGCGTGTTTCCGCTTAGCAAATATTTTTTAGAAACGGCAAAGACGACAACAGGAAGTGGAAAGAAATCGGTGGGTTTTTCTTTCTTTGCCAGGGTTTTTAATGACTTCTGGCGTAAAGCCGCCCACTCGGGTGACGTTCGCTTCGTTACCCATTTGATGGACGCACCTCGATTGCTAAATTGTGTGGGTTCTTTTGACGTTTCCGCACATTTGCGAAAAATATAAAGAAAAGCAGCTGCTGAGAGATGAAGAGATGTAGATGGAGAGAAATTGCGAGGAAAGTCGGGGGAAGATTTTTGCGTCTTTACACACTGAAATAGTTTGTGAGCGACAGACTGGGGCAAAGATTGAGAGAACGTCTGGAAGGAAGGTTTTTTGCAGAGTCGCTTCAGAGAAGAAGAAGAAGAAAGGGTTTCAGAAGCCGCCAGCGGGGGGTAAAAGGGGGCTTGTTTAAAGTCTGACAGTACAGAGGCATGCTGGGAAGCAGAAGGAAGGGCGAGGGGAGTCAGGGGGTACCTGTACGTGCGGTTCCTCTGATTAACGGAGGCGGTGCGTGCGGGGCTCTGCCGGGGGGGCGCCGTGTTGCGCGTCGGGCTCGAGACGTAGTCGTTAGGGACGACGGGAGGACGCACCGGTTCGAGCGTCCGGAAGGGGGAGTGGCGCCTGTGAGGGGGGTGCGGGGTGAGGGGTTAGGAGGAATCCAGGGGCGGGTGAAGGCGCATTCGAGGGGAAAAAAGAGGAGGAAGAAACAAAGTGCAAACTTAAAAAAAATTCAAATAAAAAAATGACATGACAGATGGTAAAACGGGTGAGGTGAACGATGTCGGTGCGGAAACACGGAGTCGTTTTTCCTTCTCGGATACAGTCGGTTTGGATAAAGTAAAGGAAACGACGCGGAGCAGCTTAAACGACTGGACGAGTCGGCTTCCTGCCCTGTGAATGAAGCGTCGCAATTAATGGAGGTTCGGGTCGGGATATTGTTAATCTTATTGTTTTGAACACGGTTTCTGCTGTTACGCCTGACTTTAGTTAGATTTCACTGTTCAATTAATTTGAAAACATGATTAAATAAAGTCACTATGACACAAATTACGCCTCTTTAAGTAATGTTATAGAAGCATGATATAAAAAGCACAATAACAATTAAAATACAAAGTAGTTCCTACTGTCAGTTTTACCGTAATGAAAATATTATCCCAAAACATGGTTTCGGGTCACGACGGCTAACCCGCGTCAAAATCTCTGAGCGGATCCCAAAAGGTGCGTGTGAGCGGGGCGTCCTACAAACCCGACCCGTTTCCTCCGGAGGAAATTCCGCTAAACTGTCGGCTCAAATATTTGGGTGTCCTTCCGTGAGCTTCTCCCGCGTCGTATCCTGAAACCCGACTTCTGATCCCGGAGCGAGCTTTTTTTTTTTCCTATTAAATCCAACGCTTGGAAATATCCGCTTTCTCTACAAGCTGTAGTTTAATGTTCTCTTAAATAACGTAAAGTTACTCTCACCACGTTTTGTTATTGCGCTCTTATTATTACGCTTTCATCTTTAGTGCAGCAGCAGCTCCGAGTGATGGCACAAACGAAAAAGGTGGAAAACAAATCTAAAAAAAAAAAAAAACGTCTGATGAGTTGGGGATTTTCTCACAAGCTTTGATGCGTCGTGAATGATCAATATGCATCTTGAAGGGACATGCGCACATTCACACACACACACACACACACACACACACACACACACACACACACACACACACACACACACACACACGCATCTCTGTGGGTCGATCTGAAGGTGTGGACGCACCGGACCTCTCTACAAACAACCGCAGGGTGCAAACACCGGCTTCTTTTTTACACGCGCAGACGAAACAAACGCAAAGTTACGAGCGGCGCGAGTCGAGGCCCTGAGGGATAAAGGCGCCTCTCGTGAGTTCGGACACGCCGCAGAACGTGTGCCACCTGCAGCTGCTGTGAAGAAACTCAAAGCAAGTCAAACTTCCACAAAGAAAGAAGGAATTTTCTGTCCAAAATATCAAAAACATTCTCTGAGGGCAGAAACGTTTCATTAGGCTCACAATACAGACAGAAGCTACAACTCTACTGTTAAAGAGAAATTTCTCTGTACAAAGGGATAAAACATCTGAATATTCATCACCATATCATGCAGATGCAGTCTGAGCGTTTGGTTGGAAATCCTCCTCAAAATGTCGTTTTGTGACATTTCGGCTCGGCAGACTCCACCAGGTGACGTGCGAACTGATGTCGATGTTTTATTACCCGTGACCTGAGAAAGGCCGATAATGCTCCGGCGTGTCCTGAAAGTAAAGCGCAGATCGACTCTGGAGGGTCTGCACCTCTTACGTACCCGAGGGTCCCCTTCCCCGACATGGGCGGGCTGGGGGGCTTCTGTGTGGGGGGGTTGGTGCGAGGGAGGGCGCCTCCTCCGGTTTTCATGTTTTGAGCGCTGGCCTGTGTGGGAGGACACGGGTGTGAACACTTATTGGTAGCACTCGAAAACATCAAACAGCAATGACGTGAACCACGAGAAGCGACGGCTGAATTTCACGACGACGCGACTGCTCGACATCTCCCGTCGGTTTCTGATTCAAAAGGTCTGAATCGTCGGTCATTCTACCTGAAGATTGGGAGCGAGCGTCGTTCGTCCTTTTTCTATCCTGGTTTTCAGGAATCAAGGATTTTAAAGAACGACGGACGGACGGATTTGTCACAGGACGAATTTGTGTCGTTTTGTGACAAATTACTAGTTTCCGCTTTCTGCCGTCGTCTTATCCCGTTACAAATCGGAATGAATAGATCAGTGAACGAGATGATTAAAAACAGAAAGATAAAACAAAATTAATCGATGACAGAAACGAAAGCCGCTCCCGTTGCAGTTCGACCTGATCCACCGACACGCCCTGAAAGCAAAAACCATCCCCACCTCATTTCATGCTTTTACTTTGAAATTCTTACCTTAAACCTTAGCAACCACTAGAGTTGACAACAAAGAGAGATTTTGGGAAGCGTTAAGAGAGAGAGAGAGAGAGAGAGAGAGAGAGGAGAAGAAATCAGAGGGTTAGCTGCAGAAATAACGGTAAAATTGGTTTTCTGAAAAAGCTGCCAACAATAGATTATTGTTCGGATCAGAGGAATTCGATCCGTTTCCCCGTTTCTGAGAAACGGAGATGCAGACGCCTTCCGGAATAAACGGCTTTTAATATGTTAGTATTTGAGAAAACATCAGGACAGAAATCTGTTGCCAGCAGCAGGTGACAGACTTTGGATTTAGTTTCCTGGCCAAAAAGAGAGAATTATTGATTGCTTTCCTCCACCACTTCACTCTGAAATGCAGTGAAACCAGAGAGCTCTTATGTTTGACCTTTTCATGTCCTCTACATTAGATTTATTCTCTTTTTTTTTTTTATTCAAACTTTCATTTGATTACAATATATTTGACGCGTTTTCACACAGAAACGACTCCTCTGTCTTTGTTTAAGGAAAGTAAAGATTGTTAGACCCTGGAACAAAAATACTCTGTGAGTTTTGTATCACATCGTTTTGTTTGACAGATCGAAACACATTTGAACAAACAAACACCACAGAAGAAACGGCAGCGAGCACCTTGACGCCGTGGCCCATGTCGTCCAGCGAGCTGTAGTCGATGGGTTTGCGGATGTAGCGGACGGGCCTCTCGGGGTTGGCCGGGGCGATGATCTTGTGCGTGCGCGAGGTGTTCTTGTTGGTGGTGAGGATGCCGATCTCTCGCCGCGCTACTTTCTCTTTGTGGATGTCCACCGTCTGAGGGACGTGAGGCAGTAAAAGGGTGCGTCATTAAACCGCTGAACCCGAGCTCCGACTCTGAACGCGTTTTGCGCGCCGGAGCCGCCGGTACCTGCGAGATGTGATTGATGGAGGACTCCATGCGGCGCAGCTGCGACGCCTGGATGTCGAGCATTTGCAGCACGTTGTTGGCCAGCGTGTTGATCAGGTAGGCCACGCTGGCCAGGGACTGGGTCGTGTAGTTCTTGGTCTCCTCCAGCGCCCTCTGCTTGTCTGGAGACTGAACAAACATGCGTTTAGACGTTACGGCTGCCTGTAACGATTGCGTTCCGTTTCCAGCTCGATAATATTACCTTGTTGTACTCTGTGGTTAGCTATTTCATTAAAAAAAAACAAAATAAATACACAATTTCTGCACTTCAGAAAAACTATAGCATTTTTTTTTGCACCGATTGCACTTTCATGGCCAATCTTTCAAAAATCTATACCTATTCCGATAGATTTCTGTGGTCTGAATACTCGCTAAATATGGCAACAAAGTTGCTCTTATAATATCGACTGATACACAAACTCCCAAAATGAAGAAAATTGGGACTTAATTTTCTTCATTAATTTTCTTCTGATTGTCGTCACTTTCGCATTTAAACGCAGGGAATCGCACGTTTTTTTGGTTTTGATTTTTCTCTTATTGCCGTTCATGCCGATCTCAGCTTCCGTGTCTTGATTACGTCGGGAAACATTATTTTGCTAAACTGGGAGCATAAAATCAGTTTGTCTCAGTCACGTCTGTCAACACAAATCCACTAGACTCCACCTTTCCATTTAAAACTCCGCGGCCGTCGCAGCGACCGAACGTTACTTCTCGTAGCGAGACGCTGTTAGAGTTCAACGAGAGCCTGTTGGAGTGTGAGACTTTTATTTTTATCAAAGAAAAACATGTTTCTTTATTAGAATAACAAATTTAATTAATTCATTATTATTATTATTACTATGTAGCAATACCTAAACACCAAATAAAACATCTTAAAAATGGCAGACACTAAACAAACAAAACGACCTCAAATAAAATCAATAAACAAAGCTTAGCCTGGCTTAAATTAAACCTGGAGGCCCGCCAGGCTTATAATGGAAACCCTGACAATTAACTCTGGTAATAAAATGATGAAAACAGAATAGATGTTTCCACTGCCTACTAGATTTATTAAAAATATAGAATTACCGGTAGTTAATATCAAAATAATACAAAAAAGAAGCAGAAATCTACAGGTTTTGGTTTGCTGAACTAATTGCAAGTGTTTGCAGACTAAATCCAGCTTTCGCATAAACAAGGCGTAAACACGACAACATAACAACAAATAAATAAAGCGGAATTAAAAACCCACACAATTCAAATCGTGAATAAAACATAATTGTGCGTTGTGACGGGCTTCGGTCAATATGTCGGAAGGACACTTCGCCACTAAAGTTGATTGAAAAGAAAAGTCAATTCTACTACTGATAATCATGATAATCATAATAATAATAATAATAGTAATGTCATGAAGAATAAAGAAAAATGGGTTTGTATCATTTGAATGACATCTTATGAAAAGTAGGCCAAACAATTTCTAAGCGTTGATTTTATGAGATGTCCGTCAGAGCAAACAACACCGCAACAAGTGGAGAGAGTATTTTTGACGTTAATCTAAAAATGTCCAAATACGTTCAGCGTCTCCACAGACTTACGGCGGCATATTTCCGTGGAGAGCTCACGGGTTCCCTGGCGACAGGTGACATTACTAGAAACCTGGCCCGCATCCAAAGACGTGACACGCCCCGATAGTATTCTCCTGACTAACGCTCCTGTCACACGGCAGGGATAGCAGCAGCTGTCTGACAGGGGCGGCGTGGACAAACGACTGGATACCTGGTCTCCAGGGCGACCGGTCGTCACATCTAGTCAAATCTTTCTGTCCCGTCTCCAGCGGCTATAAACGCTTGAAAGTTGTACGACAATAGACTAGAATTGCTGCACCTTTAATTTAAAGGAAGCTTAGACGTCAGATGACGCAGTCGGGAAAACAAACCATGATAAACAAGCAAAAAGAAAAACAAAAATCGGCCTCTGAATCAGCTGCCGGTCAGCCACCTCATCGGTTCACTCCCATTATTCTGATGCATATCTGCTGCAATATCGGAGTACACTGACAAAGCCGCAGCCACATTAGGAGCCTTATAAATACATTTTGATACATCTTCAGGTCGTGCATTGATTGCATCGTAAATCAGCGGTGTTACGTCGTGTGATCACAGCGGTTCTGCTGCCAACCACAGCCCGGCATCGATTGATGCCTAATCTCCCTGATCTCGGCGATTGATTTCACGGCCCTTTTAACGCTCTCGTCGTTTTATTCCGACCTCTGGTGATGAGGGGAAAGTGGCTAGCTGGTGACCCGCGGAGCTACAGCGCACATACACACGCACGCACACACGCACGCACGCACGCACACACACACACACACACACACACAGAATAAACGCTGCTGAAAATGTAAAGCTAATAGTTGGACATGTTAATAAGGTGAATAACACTTGAATAAGCCTGCCACTTGTTGACTTCGTTTCAAACCAGACGGCCCTCAGAGCGCCTCATTTTCGCCTTAGCAATAAAACAGCGCTAGCGGTAGTTAGCCTAGCATCAGCTCGCCCAGTCAGGGATGCCCGTCCAGAACCCGAACCAAAAACGGGCTCGCGACAACCTACCTGGACATAGTTGCTTTCGCAGTACTCCGCTACTCTTTCCAAGTTGGTGAAGCTGTCCAGAAGGGCGCCTCGTCCCGCTGGAATCTCCTCCTCCAGAAGCATTTGCAGCTCCGCCATTTTCACATCTTCTGGCAGAGCGGGATGCGGGGCTCGGCAGCGCCGCCAGCGGCCGCGTGCGGTACTGGAACGGGTTTGTCCCAGGAGCTTCCCGCGATGACTCACGGCTGAAACGGACGTTTCCACCGACACGCGCAGATCAATCCTTTCCTATTCCGTTTCTTTCCTATCAACTTCCACTGATGTTTAAATACTGGCTCATAAAATAAATAAATGTTGCAGTTCACAACACTTCATATTTCTTTATGCTTGTAATAATCAAGGAGTCATATACATTTACTGGAAGCTGCCTTTGCAAATTCATAAAGAGGACAAATATTTTGTACAATTAAATAAAAGACAAGAGCGAAAATAATATTTTCTGATCAAGTTTATTAAACTACAGGCCTTATAAAAGTGAAATGAAATGTCCAGATGCTGTAAGGCTCAAATATTTTGCCCTGAATCAGTGACAAAAATGAAGAAGACCGTTATTATAAACATAAAAAGAAATCAGGTTTTAAAAACAATGTTTCAGGTAGTGTCTACTGATTTTTAAAGAAAATATTTAAAATTTTTTATTGATTTTGGCAAAATTAGAGAGTTTCAACATTCTTTTTAAAAGAGAAAAAAAAAAAGTGGCTCATTTTGTGGATCCAGAAACAGGAAGAGCTGAAATCGTCTCCGCAGATGATTTACATAATCGTTGATAAAGACATAATTTCTTGCTCGAAAACAGGTCGGCCACATTTTGGAAAGCCGCCAAATGGCAGTGTTTGTTACGGTGCGCTCCTTTAAAAATAAAACCTCAGAGCTCTTGCCTTTAGAGCTGGTCCGTTTATGAAGGAGGCTTCTATTTGGCTGCAGGTTAGAAATGTCCTGAAAGTCTCTAGTCCTTGCAACAGGTCTAATTGAGAGCTTCATTCGAAACCACAACTGTAATACTTTGCTGGTAAATCCTCGCTCCAGTCGATTGTTTTCCAAGAGCGTGATGCTGCAGTTGCTGGGCTCTCGTCCACTATTTTCAGCTTTCTCTGCTGCTGACGGTGATCCAAGTTTCGTCCTTAGGTGTGGACACCAGCTCAGATTTGACTTCTGCCACTTGATCTTCCAGCTGGTGAAGCTTCAGCTGTCGCACCGACGTGCTGAGCAGGACCGTAGCGACGGTGTAAGCAAACCTAACAAAACCCAAAACATAAGAAAAAAAAACAAATAAACAATTTAGCCAATTATTAAGCATCAATCCTCCGACAAAAGCTTAATCGTCAAAATGTGAAATTACCCGAGTTCCGGACACGTTTGATTCCCCGAGAAGCCGAGGAGGCAGAAACTCTTCCTCGCAGATTCGTCCTCAAATCGATCCGGATCAAACCTGATAAAGAGACAAACGATGTTTGGTTTGAGCAATTTTATCTCCGATAGTGAAGCTAACTTGTAGATACCGCCAATGGAAAAAACCAAGTACACTCTGAGCCAACGGCTCGCGGCACCACCTCTGAAAAAGAAGTCGCCGCAGTAAGACTCCTTGTGGAACGCCTCGGGCTGAATGCGCGACGATTTGGTAGCAAAAGAAAAAACTCCTGCTTTTAAAGAGGCGGTCACTCAGATGCAGCAAAGTTGTACTTAGTTTTTCCATATTAAGAATCGCAAATATCTTAGTTCTTCCATTAACTAAAAGGTTGAACCTGTAGGGGGCGCTCCATGCGTCTGCATCCTGAAGGACTACTCCCAGGGCGTAGATTACCAAAGTCTGAAAGTGAATACATGAAACGTTGCTGCTACTTCCTCCAATTGTGGTCACAAGCCGGAGACCTGAACAAAGTCGATACCTCCTTAGGGATCGCGTGTTGGCCGACTTTGCCCTCCACTTCCTGAAGTCGAGCAGCTACGGGGGTCAGCTTGGCGGTCCGGACGGTCTCGTTGAGAACCCGCTGGCAGTATCTTCCCAAAGAGAGACGAGATTAAACTCGGCGGCCGTTTCTCAGAAGCGGCCGTTTCCGGAACGGATCGGGTCTCACCTGAGCTGAGGGATCTTGTCTAGGGAAATTGGATCGGAACCCAAAACGTCTTGTAACTCCTGGTAGAGTTTGTCTTGGACGTCTTTGGACGTGGACAGGAAGTGAAGCGCCCAGATGCACACTGCCGAGACAAGAACGGCATTTTTTCATTTTTATTTTTTTTTTACTTTGGATGCTTTTCTACGAGGCAAAGCAGTCGTTCCCGCCAAGAGGAGAATTCCTCGCTTACAGTTAGCGGTGATGACGCATCCAGCCAGAGTGAAGACCATGCAGTCCTCCATGACCTAAAACACAAACATAAAAAATTATTTCATAACCTTCTCCATCAGTTTTATTTTTTTATTTATTAATTTTTTTTTACGCCATCAAAGACTCCACCTGTCGTTCTGTGAGACTGGACTGAAGAAGAGCATCCACAAACGCCGTCCGTTTCCTCTGGGCCTTCCTCTCCTTCACCACTGACAGAAGCATGGATTCCATCTCTGACAAAGCTGGTCACAAATCATTCATGGTTAAAACGAGAAGAAAAAGACCCAAAACAGCAACAATAAAATGTAAAAATTTAACCGATCCAATCTTGCGTCCAACTCCTGGTTTTGAAGATGAGTAAAGAATGTACATAGTTGTAGTTCCTAACTCTGTCAGCAGGTGTCTCCAAACCTCTCTTATGTGCATGGATTGACAATAAAGTGAATGAAATTCTGAGTGTTGAATTTCGATTCAAACCCATCAAAAATGACCAGAGGATGATTTACATTTTGACACAGTTTCACTTTTTCTTTTTGACTGATTTTTCTGTTCGAGTTTACCAGAACGCGGCCGAAGCCGCAAAGTAATAAGCCCCAAACTTAGAGAGAATTCAAAGACCTTCCGAAGTTTTGTGCCAGGAATCAATCAAAAGTTGTGTCAAAACAGCATCGCAGACCGAAAGCAGATCAGTGATTGAACTCACCCTTCTCATAATGAGCTTTTCTGCTGGAGCTCTTCTCCATGGAGCCGTCCATGTAACCCTTCCCGATTTCAGACCAGATCTGCAAGAATCGGAACAAACACTAAATTCATTTTGATGCCGGCTTAAAAAAAAAAAAAGAAAAGAAGAAGAAAAAGAAGAAACGACATTCAAATCACCCTCACCGCGTCGTGGTTCTTGCGGAAGGAGATGATTTCGGCGTCGTCTTTGAAGCGCTCGCCCAGACCCAGCTGGGTGACGGTCTTCAGGGCCAGACCCAGCAGGTGGGCGCACAGCGGGATGTGCTGAGCCTCCGGGAACGACTTCCACTTTCCCACAAGTTCCTCCGCCACCTACACAAAACCTCCTGGTCAGTGTGGACTTGAGGCGAGCCTCGGTTAAGGGGACCCAGACAAACCTTGAGCATGACTGGGAAGTTGTTCTTCAGGCTGTTATTGATGGCGCCTTCGTACAATTTCTTTCTAACCACTGACTCGTTGGGCCCGCCTCCCATCCCCGGGGGGTATCCCAGCAGCGACTTCAACATGGTCTCAAAGGAGTCAGCTGAAAAGCAGAAAAAGGCAATGAGTCCAAGTATTGGCGTGGACAAAAGTTGGGAGTGTGACGTCCTTACTGGTGTGATTGGGGTTGACGTGCTGCCTGAGCTGGTTCACGGAACCCAGGCTGACCACCGGCCGCCCGCCGAACCAGAAGGACGCCACGGATCCAAACTCCCGATGCAGGTCGACGAGGAACTCGTGCAGGCTGCCTCGGTTGATGATGTCCTGCAGGTTTCCGTCCCTGAAGAGTGGGAAAAAGAAGCAAAATAAAATCAAAAGATATAAAAGCTTTTCTGTGGATGAACCGCCTGCAGAGAGAACAGAAATTACTAATATGTAAAAAAAAAAAAAAACGCTACTTACTTCTCATCTGTGGGGAAAAGACCAGGGACACCAGAGGCCCTTCTGGAAGACTGGAAACATTTTTGACAAGAATCAAGTCAACATGTGGTGGGGATTTCCATTTGAATGTTGTCCATTTTAAGACTATTTCTTTCCCTCTGAGGGAGTCCAAGCTTTTTAAGACAAACAATTCATCATGCAAGCAGATATTTGTGCTGTCTAACAATCGTCTAACAAATTATACGCTTTCGGGTTTGAAAATGTTCATTTCTACGCGTTTGACCTTTATTTTTGGGAAGGGGTGTGAGGGGGGGCGCAAACCATTAACTCAGAAAACTGGTTTTATGCGCTAAATTTTGTCGCGAGTTGACGCAAAACGAACGCCGATTACGAGAGAACGTCACACGACGTCTGGACTTGTCCAGCTGTCACGCACGAGCAGTGACAGCTGGCCTGGCCCCAAAAACATCTGCAGCCGCTTTAAGCTCGACAGCAGCCTGCTAAATGCTAACTAGCTTTGAGTTGTTCCGGGGGAACTTACCGGGTACAAGTAGAGAACCGCTCCGACCAAAATGATGACAAAAGTGACAGCGAAGATGGCGAAGGCCAACATGACGGCGCCGTCGCCTTTTGCTCGCCTATGTTCGGAGGTTCGCGTCCTAACGCTGCCAGTTACCACGTCAACGCGGCGCATCTGCGCGCGACCGCGCAGCCTGGACACAGGAAGTAGACCAAAGCAATCGAGCGCCTGGATGAGTTCAGGGATTTATTTATTTAATTAGTTTATCTTGACATTTTCTTCCAATAATGAAAATCATCTACAACTCATAACACCTTTATTTGTACAAATTAAAATATTTCAACGTAAACAATGTGTTTAAATATCTTGATCCCTATTGGATGGAGTGTTGGGACTAAAAAACACCAATCAAATTAAATAACTAGAAGAATATGAAGAAAATAAAGTGGTCATATATTTGACCTATATTTGTGAGTGAAAAAACAAAACAAAAAAAGAAACTTAAAAAAAAAAATGGATCTGGACATCTGGTGGATTTCATTTCATAAATCTCATATTTTATCAGACGTACAGAAAAGCCGTCGTTGGATTACTTTAAACTCTATATTTTAAGAGACAAGCACGTTTGAAAAATACAAACAACAACTAAAAAATTCATCTCTAATACAATCACAGATGTCGACAAAGCTGCAGTTATTAGAGATTAACGGTTGCTCCGTTTTTTTTTTTTTTTTCAGCCAGTCATTTCTGGCTTGTCCTCCGGCCTTGCCGGCTCAACCTCCATCGCCCTCAGATAACCTAAAGAAAACACAAAACATGACATAATCTGTGATGTCACAGTGGATTTCACTGGAGTTCAAACAGTTTGCCAGCGTCCTCTTTCTTTCTTGTTTTCTTTCCTTCTCACCCTCGGTGTAGTCTGTCTCCGGCCTGGTGGCGATAAAGATCCACGCCAAGCCCACCAGCAGAGCCACCACCAGGTTGATGGTCACCCACGGGTGGAGGATCTGGTGCTCCGACCCTTGAGGCCTGCAGCGGGGACAGATGAAACACGGCAATGTAATCCTGGCCTTTACGTTCGCTTCGTAACGTCGGGATTATCTGAGCCGTCGCACCATATCGTCGAGTTGGAGGACGCGTAGAGGTTGATCCGATCGCTGGTCATCTGCTGACTCAGAGAAAGGATCAAAGCAGAGAAATACACTGTGTGGGGAAAAAAAGACACGGAACAGAGCGTGAGATTGCGGCGAACCCCAGCGACAAGGATCAATCGTCTCTGAGTGGATGTGGATTTACAGAACGAAGCCAGAGCCACCGGATCCAGAGTGATGAACTGCCGCAGAGCCACCGGACCTTTAGCCAGGTTCACCCTGGCGACAGGAAAGCAAAAACAAAAAGTCAAATCGGTCATTTTTGAGGAGAGCGCTCATATTTTGGTGTAAGTCTGACAGATTGTTGCTGATCTGGAGACAAATAAATAAATAAAGCAGAAATTTGAGGTGAATCTCAGAGATTTCTGAGAAAGAAAATGGGGAAATTTCAAGTCGAAAGCGACTCAAGTGCAGGCTCTTATTTTGAAAGGGATTCCTCCTGGTTCACCTGTCGAAGGAGGCGACGGTGCAGATGGCCAGCAGCATGTAGAGCAGGGCCTGCGAGGGGTAGGCCAGGCCGTGGTACTGCTCCAGCAGGTTGCGCAGCGCGGTGAGGTGCTGCCCGGCCAGCATGTAGACCACCACCACGTTCCACACGGCGTAGCCGGCCAGGAAGCCGTGGCAGTACAGGCCGAACACCCTAAAGGGAAATCAGAAAGAAATAAAACGGACACAGCGAGGGATACGGGAGGGGTGAAAGGTCGCCCTCCCTCTCTCACCTGAAGCCTTCGTGCACTCGGATGGAAACGTCTCTGGTGGTCCAGAGCGGCAGCATGTGCTGCGGCTCGGCCAAGCCGTCCATCTGCTCGCCCGTCGTCGTCCTCCAGTCGGAACGCTCGGCGGCCTGGAACCGCTCTGCGTATCCACGCGTCAATGACGAGAAGAAGAAGAAGAAGAAAAAAAAACTCAAAGTCATCGACCTTTTCACAGAGAGAGATGTCTCTGATTTGAGTGTCCAGTGTCTGTCTGGCGCTTTTGGTCCAAAACTGAAGACTTTCCATTCGTTTCGAAAAAAATATGAATAAATAAATTACTGAATCCGTTTGGGTTTGGACTTCCCGTCCTAGCGTACGCACAGGATTGGGCCAGGCTGGGAGATGTTTTTATAAGGATAATTCAAAATGTTATAATATTAGCAGAACATGGAGGCCATATTGCCAGAAGAAAGTCGTACAATTACTAGAAAAAGGATATTTTATGGAAAGCTTTATGTTGTTATGATTTTATTCTCATAAAATGATGAGTTTGTTTTCGTATTTTTACAACTTTTCTTTGTTTTTATTAAGACTTTGTTCTCGTATGAGTTTTCAATTCGTTATCGACTGTAGATAACCGTCGGTGTGATGAACTCACTGGTTCTCTCTACAAACAGCTTCCCGACCGGCTGGCTCTGACCCTGCGGCGCCGAGAACAAGGCCTGCTGGGGGATCGGCGAACAGCTGTCGTTGATGATGTCGTCCTCTTCCACGCAAAACTCGTCGGGAAGCGGCGACTCTGCGACCTTTGACTTCCTGAACATGACAAAACACCTTATTTTTGTCGCTGTTGTCTTCTTACCTCTAATTTTGTTTTTTGTTTTTTTTTACCTTTTCTTTTTGACTTTCTTCACCACTTCTTCCCCGTCGGTGGTCTGATCTCCTGTGTCTCCGTTGACCAGGTCGGCCTGGTTGTCTTCCGGATCTGAATTGGGAGACGGATATGCTCGAGACCGCGGCCGGACTTTAGAAAAACGCAAAAGGAAAGCGGAGCGGCTTCACCTGTGGACACGGCTTTCTTCTTCTTCCGCTTCCTCTGCGTCGGAGCGTCTGCCGTGGCTTCGAGCGTCGGGTGATCTCCGACCTCGGACGCCCTCCGGCTGCCCAGCCCTCCCATCTCCATTTCCTGATCTGAGGAAACAAAATTGTTCAGACAAAGAGTTTTTTTCAAAGGGGGCGAGGGTTCCAGTTGTCAACCTCAGCTCCTCACCGTCCACGTCTCCTTCTCCGTTTGCGTCTTTTCTCGGCTTCTTCTTTTTCCGTTTCGGGGCTGGAAAATCTGTGAACGTTTTTCCATTGGAATTTAGGAACAGAAATGAATCGATAAGGCGACTTCGGAGGAAATTTGGACCCACCTGCTGTGTCTTGGCTTCCATCAAACAACAACAAAAAAGAAAGTTTTATTATTGTTATTATTAATCTCATTTTTAACAAAGAAGTCGTTAAAGAGGAAAAGTTTTTCTACCTGGACATGGTGGGAAGGGCTCGCTGCCCTCGCTATGGAGACAAAAAGCAAGCATAACATTTTTTTTTTTAACCAATGTAATATTACTCATAATCAAATAAAAGGTAGTTCACATTTTAAGGACTTTTACACACTTATCCAAGTCAACTATGTTTTCTCATAATAATTTAAAAAAAAAAAAAAACCCAGATAAGAAACTCTCACAATAACTAAACGGAGCAACAACATGATAAGTACTTTGTTTAATCTCGGTCATTTACGCAACATTTGAACCGGTGCGTTTTTTTTTTTTTTTTTTGTACTCGTCCAGCAGAACTTCTAGCGGCCGAGATGACTAAAAAGAAAACCTTACCGTGGTTTTTCTGGCCATTTTGGTCAAGAACGCGACTCAGAGCGACGCGAAGCCACCACACGACATCCTGACAGATAAATCCCGAGCTAAATCTGCCAAGACGGAGGATCAGTCGGAGCAGAGGTCAAGCGATTTAAACCTTTTCCAAAAGACTCGGAGCATCACAAGAGTGGCTGTTTATGCTTGATGCTTTGGTGGGATTTGGCTGGGGGGTTTTTCCCATTGTTGCTCAGAAAGCGACGACTTTTAAACTTTTTTGCTGCATTCATTCGTTATCCTTGCTTTGTTCCACGTCAATAAATTCACATTCTTTAAAGTATTTTATTCTGGTCGTGAACATTAAATCTGGTCGTGAACATTAAATTATCGAGCGCTAAACCTCCCCACAAATAAATCATTTAGAAAGTGTGTTAGTAAAAACAAGGTAAGTGAGATCTGAAATGATACGGATGTTGTCATTACAAAATTTTGAAAAAACAAAAGTTTATATCAATAAATAATTCATATCAATATGTATTGATATATTTAACCATTTAAGATATTCTGCACTAAGACCTGCCGTGCAATAAAACTCAGTGGGGGGGTCCTCAATAGTCCCCAGCATCTGATTGGATAACCGGCCCAGTCTTAGCTCCTCCCACTGCCTTTCATGGGCGTAATTACTTCAAATAAAAGTTAAAGTGGTGAGGGTAAAGCAAACAGGACGAGGGAATATTTCAATTATTAATGACCCTAATGCACATTTTATTGTTTATATGCATTTAAAATACGACGGAAAGAGAAAAAATTACGTGCATTTCTAAGTTTATGTAAATACATATTTATTTACTAAATTGCAAAAAACTTGGTGATTGGTACACAGTAAAAAATGGAACCTAAGAATACTATATATATATATAGAAATATATTTTATTATTATTATTATTATTATTGTAGCTTTTAATTTGCTCGATAAACAGAACAGAGACTAAAAATCTGGGCATTTTAATTTGGAAGTTTTTCACTTTCACATTAAAGATGTATTGGAACTTTATTTATTTATTGTCTACATCGTTTAAAATTAAAATCGATTGAAATAAATGACCTCTGAACTCCAACATCCAGCACAATTTAAAAGAAACAGAAGGATAAATTATGAAGCAACTAGCTTAAATTTGTCCTAATATTACTAAATTGTATCCAAAGGTCCAATTATAAAAGGACTACATTTAGAGTATTATATTCTTTTTTTGCAGACAGTAATAATAATGAGTTCACTTACCTTAGGAAGAGGGGGCAGCTCCCTGAACCTTATGCTCTGCACAGTAACAGGAGGAAAAATACAAGAAGAGATTTTTTAAAAACCGGCGAAGAAGAAAATGAATTTCGTTCTGTGTCTTTACAGATGTTGAGATGCGAGAACACTTCGACTTAGTACAACCGTTATTCGTCTTGTACATAAACAAGTACTTACTTTACCGTCTCCTCCGTCCATTCTCGGTCTTTTCTCCTAAAACCCCTCGGCGAAATCAACTCCCGGTCACATTCTCGTCAGTGTAGCCGGACTTTTTCCAACACCGAGACAAGTTAAAAACCGAGTTTACGCTACGCTGTTTGTGTTCCACAGGACTACCTCGCGTAAACCGGATGTGACGACGTCTCAGGAAGTGGTGCGTGTAATTTCAAAATAAAAGAACACGGTCAAAAACTGGAAAGGCGCGACAGTGTTCACGTTAATACATTTCACAGACGTATTGAACTTTGTTTTTATTATTATTTCGAATGCTTTTTTACGTTGATTTATTAGTGTGAGTACATATCTGATCTTAAAAAACACAAATCAGTTTTTGTGTGTGTGTTTTGCTTTCTTTATTGAAAACGGAGCTGCATCCAAAGTACAAAACGGATTTGTTTTAATCTAAACACCTTCCAATCCAGTACACAAAGCACATCTAAATAAGCTACGTTGAGCAGAGTTTAAAAAAAAAAAAGAAAAAAAGAAATTGTGACACAGTTTATGGGATTTCTTGGGGCTTTGTGTCCTCCTCTGGGATTTAAAAGAGATTTAAAGACCAGAGCAAGCTTTCCACACGTATACATACAGATCAAAGGATTTACATATTTCCTGGCTTGCCTCCCCTCAAACATCCAGGCAAGGATTTTACATTTCAACATTGGTATCTTCCCGGCGAAGAGTGCTCTAATCCCTCTCTCTCATGACTCGGCCGTGGGTCGGATCCAGCGGGCGGGGACCCACTGCGGTTCATCCTGTGCCTTCCTGACGGCCGTCAGCAGCTGGACGCAGGAGTCCTGCAGCTCGTCGTTGACGATCACCTGGTCAAAGAACTGAAAGTACTGAGCCTCGATCTTCCGCGCCGACTCCTCCATCTCGTGGAAGTCTTCGTCCTGTCGAAAGTCAAAGTCAGATTGGATTTCAGCTAATATTTTTGTGGCTTGATGACCAACAATGATATAGAGCATACATTAGTATGGTAATGTCTACTCTGTAGTCATTTTCTGGGATTGTGTTTGACAGTTTGCGTGAAATATTTGTGCTGACGCTGATTTTTGGCGTCGGTCAAACATCTCTACTTTGATCTCGCCTTTCAAAATTCTTCATTTCGGATCGATTTTGAAGTTGACCTCGGTAAGACCTTGCGCTGGTTCACCAGATATCGTCTTACCCCTGTTATTGATCCTACTGCTGTCTGTGACTAAGAGAAACTAGAAGCGAACGATGAAACCTGGCCGTCAAGAGTGCATACTTTGAATGGACGGTTGACGTAGTAGTTGGTGGTGATGTACGAGTCCTGTCTCGTCTCCCTGAGGCGCTCCGGAGGCGGGGGCTTCACATAGACGATGTACGCTCTCAGTTCATGAGTCCTCACTGCCTGAACAACCTAAACAATGAGGCAAAGTGCATTCCTTTAACTCTACGCCATCAGCTCTGAATGGCGAAACTTTCGAGGCTTACGTTCGGCTCTATGTCGACGACGCAGATCTTTCCGCTGTGTAAAACGTCTTTCACGGCATCGATGCTAGTTCCGTAAAGGTTACCTTTGTACTCGCCAAACTCCAGAAACCTAGAAATAAATAACAGCATTAAATGACAACGTCACAATTTATTCAAAGGCATTTAAAAGCGTGTGACGGATAGCGACGTTACCGATGATTGTAGACCATGTGATCAAAAATCTCTCGGCTGGTGAAGTAATATTCTCTCCCGGATTCCTCGTACCCTCTTGGACTTCTTGTTGTGTCTGGCGAAAGAGGAAAAACTAAATATATGACTTCTACTCGCAAAAAAAAAATGATGATTCATAATATTTTTTTGTGACTCTGAAGGCTTTGCACGTACGCGGTATAGCTCCCTGGAAGATGTTTGGGTTCATCTCGATCAAGCGCCGTCGGAGTTCATTCACGCCCACACCAGACGAACCTGAGGCACAAGAACCAGACAAAGTCTTTCTTCATCCGGACCCGTGATGTTCCGAAATCAAAATGCGCACTCCTCCGGATTGTACAAACGCCAAACCAAAGTTTCATCTCTGTACCTATGAGGGCAATGACGCGATGCGTGTCCTCTGGGTGGCGCTGGTACCGGACCACCTCCTCGTAAGGGTCGTTTAGGACGCTGCTGCAGCTGCTGGGGCAGCGGATGTGGGAGGAAGGCTGAGTTGCGCTCTGGGAACGCCGGCGACACAGACGGATGCTGCGCCTGAACCCCGCTGACGGGTAACAACAAAGGATTTCAGAGGCTGATCTTTACACGGAGGCTTTGTGCACCGTAACACAAAAAGGCGCAGCATAACTGCTGTCAACATATATTTCATGTGTTAATCTTCATGCGTTTTCGTCATGTAAACATCACGTCGATACATACTCTTGATTTCTTTCACGGAAATTCGTACAAATGAACTAAAAAGCACGTTTAAATATTAAATGTGCAGCAGTTACCCAAGTAAACTCCTTCAATGTTGCTGCTGAAGTCATCCTCCTCTGGTGGTGAAAAAAGACAAGAGAAGAAACATTTAGCAAACTCATTGAAGAAAAAATTACGACTGTAAACATGATATAGCTGCAGTGGCTGAAATCTATTAAGCTTTCCTTCTCTCCAATTAATTCAAAGATGAAAAAAAAAACATATAAACACCAGTTTCACCTTCTCGGAGCTCCTCTGACGTTTTGCGCATCGGGAATCAGAAAAAGGTTTGGGAAACAAAACAAATGTTTTCCGTGAAGGGCAGGAAAACGGATCGAGTCGTCGATTTCGGGCTCCAAAACAAACTTATTAAAGACTTACCTACCAGATTCAAATGCCTCCTCGTCTGTTTTGACCCAAAAAACACACGCACAGAGAATTAAATACAAAAGAAGCAAAAAGTAAATAAATAAAAATAAAATATGTGACGGTACATCTGAACTAAATCTTACCCGCTTCGACACATCTCTCATCAATGGCCATCAAATCCTCCTCTGTGAAGAAAAATAAAACTGATGTTACGCTCAGATTTCAACAGAAATCTGAGCGTAACTTTTATTTACCTTCGTCGACGGTGCTCACTGCAGGAAGCGTGGAGTGAAACAGATAAAACCTGTCTGTGAGTTCATATGGACGATTGTATCGACGGCAACAGCAAAAATCAAGAGCAGGTCACTCACAGATTTGCATGCAGACGTGTGGTTGGTACGGCTGGGACCACCAGAACTCCCTCTGCTTCCTGTAACAGGGACACAGTTCAGGGGAAAGTTCTTCCTATTTCCAAGATACAAATGTAATCAGTTTGCTAAAGGAAAAAAGAAAAGTCTTGCACATATACAGCACAACATTGCAGATGAGAAACAGTTCTACTTTTTAAAAAACTATTGTTGCTAAAGCTGTATAAGCTAATGAATCATACAGTGTACTTTTTCTCTAAGACTGCATTTAACTGACAGATTTATGGTAAAGTACCCCAAAGAATAATACCAGAAACACTCATCTTTTTTGTTTTTACCTGAAAAGCTTTGATCTTGTGAACCTTGAATTTGCGAATCTGTCTCTTTAAGAAACTCCTGCTTTTTCTGAAACCCCGTCTTCAAAAACTCATCACAACATCGCTCCTCCATTAACCCTTCAGCAAAGTTTTTACCAGCATTTCACTGAGAAGCAGCCGGTATAATAAGCTCAGTTGCTAATTGATGCTGGCTAGTCTGAAGGAGCAGAATGGGGATGGCTGCCATGGGAGACTAAAGAATTTGTCAGCAGCTATTCCGTCAGATCCCGAAACCAAGTAAACAAACACATAGCGTGAGTCGGAACCCACTGGGACTGAGCCTGTTTCCCTCCCTCATAGGACTGTGGGAGAGTTTTAAAGGAAAATCAAATCTCCCAAAGAGCTCAAGATGAAAAAACAACTTTTTCAAAGCAGGACATCACACAAAATCCTCGTAGGTTTAAAAGAGTTGGGTTCAGACTCACCGTTTGAGCAGGCTAGTGGAAGGGACGAGTCCGGCACAGGCCGAGCTGCCGGGCAGCTTCTTGGCTTGCCACCAGAGGGCGTCGGTCTGGTCCACGATCTCCAAGATGTCGCCTCTCTTGAAGCTCATCCCGGCGTCGGCGCAGGGGATGGTTGGGTCCTGCTGAGGGCTGTAGTCGGTCATGGCCCGGACGTAGAGCTGAGCAACAATTTGCACTCAGTTGTTGTAGGTTTTAGGTCTAAAACAAAGAATTTACCAGAGTGTGGTGGAAGACTCACCGTGGTCTGGTTGTGGATCGGCCTCTCTGTGATGGGAATGACCTTAAACATGATGGTGCCGTGTGACCGAGCTTGCTGATTGGATGCAATTAAGCAAACAATAACGTTATTATACCCTGTTTCTCCAGTCAAGACTCCAACATCTTATGAAGGATATTAAATGACGGAAATAACCGATTTAATTTCTACTCTTGCTCAACCCACCACCACTTGGATAACTTGCTCAGGCTCCATTCCGTCCACAGGAAAACCATTCACCTCCATAATTCTGTCTCCTGCATGAAGCAGGCCTGCATACAGAGAAACAAATTTAGTTGATTTAGTTGAAAGATATTTTTGAAAGTTTGTTGGTTACTTTTTCTTTTTTCTTTGCGAAAATAAATGCGATGCTCATCTGCATAACACGACAGCCTGTTTATTTACTCAAATAAATAGCCGTTGAGGAGCAATTCAAGGGGCAAATGTTTAATAAAAAAAAAGGTTTCAGAGACTCAGACTCTTTCGGAATAGTTGAAATATTTGTTGAATCTTTGCAGGATGGAGTAAGAGACGAACAGATAGATCTTTGGACGGCAGTTTGTCGGTTTCTTTATAATGCCACGGTGTTTATATTGTGATTTTTCCCTCGCTCCACTGTTTGCTATCAAGAGTCTCACCGCTTCGATCGGCCAGTCCTCCGTGAATAACACGAGCCACGAAAATCTCTCCCGTGATGTCATTTCTCTTTATGGTCGCTCCCTGAAAGAGAAAACGGAACGCGCTGGTCAGCAGCGTGACTGGGATGCTGAAGGTCATGAAGGGACAGAAGGAAGGGGATGAATTTGTAAAGACAAGAATAAAACAAGGGCACACAAAGAGAGGAAATTCTCTCAATTCTCGAATGAAGCTTGGAAAAATGATTGGAGGCATAGTGATCCAAAAAAAACAAAAACAGAAACGCTCACTGTTATTAACCCCTTTATCGTCACTCAGGTGGGTTCCTTCCTCTTCTTTTTCTTCTTCTTCCTCCTCTGGCTGGTGTGACATCCCTTCACATTGTTGGACGTGTTCATGAGTTCCAGTTCACCGTTTGTAAGCAAGCCTCTAGAGACGTCTGGATCACCGGGCCCACGTTTTCTTGTTTTCACGGAGGTGACTGGGGGTCCCTGATGTTTCGCTGTGACAGGAGAAGGGCCCTTTGAGGTGGAGGCAGCATCCGGAGAGCTGGCGCTGGACGACGAGAGACATCTGGACTGCTCTGCGTGTGAAATCGTTGCATCTGTCCTCTTGGTGGTGAGGAGTGTTTGTAGACGGTCCACCACCTGAGTGAGAAGGACCAAAGACTGCACCGTCTCGGTCATGCGATCTGTTGCGGCTACCATCCTCTCTCCCAGAACTCTGATGTCTTTACTGCTGCTTTCCATTGAGCTGGCCGCTTGTCGTACCGTCGTCCTCAACTTGTCCAGGCTCTCCTGATTGGACGTCTCCACGGGTGTCTCCTCCAGCACCCGGCGAGGCTGCATGGGGCTCGGGGGAGCTGTGCGGACGCAAGGGCTTTGGGCTCGAAGCTTCTGAGGCAAGTCCGGATGAAGGTAGGTGCCTTTGGTGAGGTAGCATGGCACTCCAAGACAAGGAGGATATGGAGCAAAGGTGAACGGTCCAGACTCTTTAGTAGGGTGATCCCCAGAAAAAACAGACAAAATATTAATCCGTATGGCAATGAATAGATGGATGGATGGATGGACGATGGATGAAGGCGGAGCAAATTTTCAAGGCATCGTTTCCGGAAGCGTCTTTTCTTACCGAACCCAACAGGGTTGTAGACGGACGGTGCCGACTGGTTCAACTTTTGCTCCAGGTCAGTGTAACAGACGCTGCAGTGAAAGGTGTGCTTGCGATAGCTCACTTCGTGTCGAGGCGCGCAGGTGAGCGGGTGCGGTCGGACCCCCGCGGGGCGGCACGGCGGCTCGGCCGGGTGGCAGCAGGGCCGCCGGACCTCGCGACACGAGAAACGCCGCAGGTGCTCCGGAGCGGGGCTTTGCGCCCCAAACGTCTCGTCGCTGCGAACGCTCCAGGCGCTTCCTGTCCCTGATGGACACCTTCTCGCACAAGCATGGGAGGAACCACTCAGCCCGCAAAGCTGCGACACAACACAGTCACTGAAAACATGCCAGGTTTTTTCTTGGTTTTTGCTTTTAATAACTTCTTCACCGAACAGAAAATTACCAAAACATAACAATTGCTTAATCACAGATTTTATTGGATGGTTAGTGGCTATAAAGAATTCTGTATCTGTAACCATAATAATTATAACTGTGATGTTCTGCAAGGAGGTGTGGACAGATCTCTGCTGTTTCTGTCTGACATAACAAACTGTAATAGCATATTATACTAGCTCTCTGTTTTCCCAATAAACAAAAAAAATTAGTTACATTATTTAGGAAACTAATAAAAGACTTCATTAAATCTTTGAATGCAATAAAAATCTGTAAATGAGATTTAAATGTGGACTAACTAAAGGCTCAGATCTCCAAAACGTAACAAATGTTTTTACTTGTCCTTAGAAGCAGGTTAGTGTACTTATAGTAAAAGAATCAGGTTAAAACTACGGAATAGATCAAATAAATACTATTCAAATGTTTTAAAGTCAACTTAATTCAACTGATTGGATTTTAAAGGAATCTGACAGAGAAAATGTTTCAGATTGCACAGTTTACTTCACTTTTTAATGAGCGGCTCACCAGAGGCTGCTTGTTCTTGACCAGGCAGACGATTCGGGTGGCCTCCTCTTCGTCCGGCAGCTCGTCCGGCATCGGCGGCAGCGCCGGCTCGTAGTCCTTCTGGGCCACGGTGTCGTGAGCCGAGAGAAGAGCCTAGACGACAAAAAAATAAATAAATCTTAAACATTGTCAAGATTTTATCAGGGAAATTCACTTCATCTGAACTTCATAAATCAGTGAACTTCGTAAATCAGATTTTCAAAGTCAAAACTTGCTAAACATATTATTTTTTTATGAGCTACCAGTGGAAGAAAATTGGCATTTCACTGTAAAATTATAATACAGCAAGTTCGGCTCAAGGCGGTTTTTTTCCAACAGAAAAAAGTTGTTGAAAAAAAGACGCAACCAAATTACATTTGAGAGCTTTTGAGCCGTAAAGTCTCATGTTTTCGAAACAAAAAGAATATAAGCTAAACTGAAAAAAAAAAAAAAAAAAAAAAATTGTCTATATTATGTTTTCATTCAATGAATACATACCGGTGCAATTTTCAACCTTTTCCTACCTACTCCGTCTAATCTTTGTGATTCAAAATTATGGGTGTGGGTTGCATATTAATAGCTGATAAAATCATAATAATTCATTAACGTAATACTTTGATTCTGTGTTTTTAGTACACAGAGATGGTATCAGTGTCAGCACATCTTTACAGGAACTTTTCCAATGTCTAAAGAGTAATTAATCAAATTCCCATGGGTGCAATTCCTCAAGGCTCTACTCTTGAGTCACTTTTTTTTTTTAATAAAGTGGCTAAAACTATAGGGACTGTTGGAAACGTCTGCTTTTTAAAAAAATAATTTTTCACATTTCCACATCCTAACAACAGATTTGTACAAAGCAGCTGGTTTTCTCACCTGCATGTGCGGCTGTCGGAGGAGACGGTACAACTCTTTGGCTTCTTCAGAACAGTATGGGAGCGATCTGATGTCTATCAACAACTACACCCGAACAGAATACATGTTCACCGTGACAACAACACACACCGACTGTCCTAAAATGACTGCACAGCAAACCTGAAGTGAGAGTCCTGAAGCAAAATCCAGAGCTGGAGCAGGGCAGTCTGTCAGATACCTTTGAAGACATTCGTACACCTGGAAATAGCATAAAAATAGCCTAAAAGATCACAAGAAAGCGTTTTCTAATTGAAAAGGTGAACATAGGAATGTCTATTTTCCAACCTTAAGCAGCGACTGGAGCCAAGACGCAGTCAGCAGACTGTGGAGGACCTCTACTCCATCAATGTCCTGACTAATGGAGCGCCTGACCTCCTCGATCACGTCCGACAAGACCTGCCGCAGGCCTGCAGGGGAGAAACAATCGCATCAGACCGCCAAACCGCACAACAGATTAAACCTGCAGGCCAGGACTCCGCTTCACCTTGCTCTCCAAGCTCAAAGGGCGGAGTTACGACCTGAGCCTCCACCGCCTGCCTCATGATCCCTGGACCCCCGACCACCTGTTAGCTGATCACCAGGACGGACGGTAAACCTGGGGATTAACGGATGCAAGTCAGAGAGCTGAAAGAGAGCTTCTTTGATCCGTGTTATTTCACTTTTCTTTGATATGTGGTCAGCCTCTTTTAAAAAAAAGAATCATGTTGGAATGAGTGTTAAGCTATTCCTTTAAAAAAAATTGATGTGGTGCATGACATCGCACTATAATGCACCTTCAAAATTGTCCCATTTGCAGTTTGTGATGTGTTGTAGCTCTGAAAGAAAGATTTATGAAATGGGAATGAAATTTACATAACCTGATGCCAGCGTTATTGTTAGGATAATTGCATTTAAAATTGAAAAAATAAATTAAAACAAATAAGAATACCAGAAATGTTTTGAACATTCCGTGCAGTTTTAAGCCATTTTTATACACAAAAAAAGAGGTCTCGAGAACAGAGCCTTGAGGAACGCCACATGTGGTTGAAGCCCTAGAAACATTATGATTTTGGTCAATCATTATTGAGACATGTTTTTGAAAACTCTTGCAAGTGCATTCTCAGCTAAAATGTGTTTGACAACTTGACATTTAAGCTTTGAAAAGTGTTTATTTTTTGTCTTTTAACAATTTTTAAAGGCTTCTTTTCAAAATTGTTAGCCCAGATATAAGCCTACCCACCTGTAATTGGGAAATCCAAATAATAACTCTTGATTCTATATTGTTGTTCCAGCTAAGCTAAAGTCCACTGAATCTATCTGGGACTTTGGTCACGTGGAGAGACAGACATATAAACTTGAGTGTCATCAGGTAAGGTCAGAGACATTGTCATGCTTGACAAAGTGGCCCAAAGGTGGAGCCTTGAGGAACTCCACATGATTGCAGCTCTGAAATCAACAAAAAAAAAAAAAAAACAACAAAAAACAGACACCCTATTTGAGAGAAGGGCGTACAGAAAATGGATGGATGGATAAAACAGAGGTTTGCAATAAATATGGAGTTAGGCCTAAATAATTTGCTAGACATAAACAATATGATAACTTACAACGAACCCGAAGCAGTTCGTTGTAAGTTGTAAATGGTATCTTTAAAATCTAAACACAAAAAACACTTTGGTCAATTTGGTAAATGTTAACGTGGACGACTCATACAAATATTACTCTCCACTGATACATATCGCAGTTTATTAATGTGACTTCAAAATGGCACCACACAGCCCCCTCCACTGGTGGCCCTGAGAGCATCACGACCATAAAAAGTGTGTTGTAGGCATACAATATCATACAGAATTAAGTTCAATTTACAAGGCAGCAGATTTAGAATATTTTTTTAAAAATCTGTAAGTTTGTCTACTTTAAAAAAGGGAGTGGTGGACTTCCGGCTTCCGGCCCACCGCAATGGTCGCATAGCTAGAGAGCTCCTGGTCGAACTGAAGTAATTAGAGAAATTACCCCTATGAGACCGAGGTAAATATACCGATATAATAATTAAAAGAGGGGATAAGATTGTACCACTATTTTTAGAAATAAACGCCGATTAAAGTCAGGTGAAGGAAAGAAAAGAGACGCAGTAGCAATTAGCAGCTAACGTGTTGAAGCTAATAAGACACGAGGAGCAACGCCTAAGAATGACCGACACTGAACTGATCCTGCGAGAACTGAAAGGGTTTCGCCAAGAAAATAAAGAACAACTGGAGATGATAAAAGAAGAAATCGCGAAAGTGAATACCAGAATGGAGGAGGTGGAGGGACGAATTGAGAAAGCAGAAGAAAGGATCCTAAACACGGAGGAGGTCATTACGGCTATGCTAAAGCTACACGCTAAGCTGGAGGACAAGCTGACGGATTTGGAGAGTCGATCCAGACGGGAGAACATAAGGATGTATGGGGTTCCGGAGGGATCCGAGAAGGAAGCTACAATGCTCTCATTTGTCGAAAATCTACTCCGTCAAGGTCTTGAGCTGAACGAGGACATCCCTGATCTCCACATCGAAAGAGCCCATCGGTCAGTGGGGCCACAGCCGCCAGCCGATGCGCCACCACGCTCCATCATAATCAAGTTCCTAAGTTTTAAAACTAAAGAGATGATTCTCCGCAAAGCTTGGCAGAGGAAGGGGTTTACATGGCAAGAAAACCACATAAACCTGGATAACGACTACCCACCTCTCATACTGAAGAGACGAAGGGAATACGCAGAAATACGAAAAATATTGAAGGAACATAACATCCACTTCCAGACCCTCTTCCCCGCGAGGCTGCGCGTTAGATTCGAGGACGGATCCAAAACCTACGATACGGTGGAGGAGGCATCAGAGGACCTGCTGAGACGAGGGTTCACTGTGTCAACCATCAAACCTCCGGAGACACTCATGGAGCAGATGCAGAGACTGTCATGGACGAGAGTGGACAGACGCGCGACGAAGGGAGCATCTAAAGCCGGCCGGGGATCCAACTACAGGGAAAAGCTGCGAGCCTTCAGGAGAACCGGGGCCCCTTCGGGACCAGCGGATCTTTCCCAGACCGAAGACGGCGGGAGGAAAATGTGAAAAATCTTAAACCAAATCGATAATTAGTGGTGGAAACAAACGATAAAATAATTTGGTTCGACCGGGACCCTTTTTCCTCTGGAGCTGGGACATTTTTGTTGCTTTTTCTTTTTTCCTAATATGCGACAGTTGCAGGCACGGACCTCTCCCTCCAGACCGAGGAGGGGGACTTTTTCCTTCGACCCCCTTGTGGGGGCTCAACAGGGTCAGGTTAGTAGACCCCTACCTAGGAAGTTGTATGGACAAATTGTGTTCAGTTTTATGTGTATTATGTTAACTGTTTGTTCCCCGCTGGTTCTCGCGGGAAGGGGGAAACGCACCAAGTATTTGAGTGAGATGGATGGGGGAATCACATAGATGCATAACGGATCTTTAAGAATAGCAACATTTAATATAAATGGAGTACTCAATCCGGTCAAGAGGGAAAGAATCCTATCAAAATTAAAGAAAGATAAAATCCAAGTCGCCTTTTTACAAGAGACACACCTTAACGACTCAGAACATGCTAAATTAAATAGACAAGGATTTAAACATGTTTACTTCTCTTCGCATGGATCGGGGAGGCAGAGAGGAGTGGCGACCCTTATATCCAAGGCCGTAAATTATGAGCACATTTCAGAATATAACGACAATGAAGGCAGATTTGTTTTGGTTACAGGCAAAGTAGAAGGAATCGTGATAACTCTCCTTAATGTGTATATTCCTCCTGGAAGTGACTGGTCTTTTTATAGACAAATAATTGATATAATAACAACAAAAAGTCAGGGAATTTTAATATGTGGCGGAGATTTCAATGTCAGACTAAATCCAAAAATCGACTCTTCAAATGGGAAACCCGACGCAAAAAATATCAGCAAGAGATTAAATACCTGGATGAGTGAGGTAGGAGTTGTGGACGTTTGGAGGGAAAGGAACCCAAAGAGCCGAGATTACTCACATTACTCACATGCTCACAACGTCTACTCCCGTATAGACTACTTCTTTATGTTTAAGGGGGATCTTTTCAGGGTGGACAGCTGTGAAATGGGACCTAATACTCTCTCAGATCATGGTCCCATATACATCTCAGTCTGTTTGCAGAACAAGAGGAGATCCACTTTGTGGAGACTGAACTCAAACATTTTGAATAAATCGGTCATTAGGGATAAATTAAAACGTGAAATCAAGTTATATTTAGAAAATAACGATAATGAGGAAGTGACTCCTCCTATAATCTGGGACGCATTAAAAGCAGTGATTAGGGGTAAAATTATATCCATAACCTCATATGAGAAGAAAATTAGAGACAAAAAACTCCAGGACTTAGAGGAGGATCTGAAAAAACAACAGAGAGAACATGCAAAGTCTCCCAAAGATGATAACATCAAACATAAGATTATACAATTAAAAAAAGAAATAGAAGAAATAAATTCCCAGGAAATCCAAAAAAAGCTTATTTTCACAAAACAGCAGTACTATGAAGCAGGTGGGAAATCCCTGAAACTTTTATCTTATAGGTTAAGAAAACAACAGGCCTGCAGAACGATACATAAAATAAGAAATAATGTAACAAAGGAAATAGAAACTAACCCAGAGAGAATCAAAAACGGCTTTCAAAAATATTATAAAACACTATATTCCCAACCACAGACAAGCAGCAACAACCAGATCGATGCCTTCCTGGAAATGATTAATCTTCCAAAGATCACTGATGAACAAAATAAGAAATTAATATCTAAAATTACAAAAGAGGAAATTCAATCAGCAATCAAGAGAACTAAAAAGGGAAAGTCTCCAGGGACAGATGGATTTACCACAGAATGGTATAAAATTATGCAAGATCAGCTAATTCCAACATTACAGAAAACGTTCAACTGGGTCCTAGAAAAAAAAAACGATTCCCCCTCATGGCTAGAGGCAATAATCTCTGTTATACCCAAGGAAGGGAAAGACAAATTGGAATGTGGGAGTTATCGTCCAATAAGTCTGCTAAATAATGATTATAAACTCTTCACCTCCATATTATCCAAAAGAATAGAAGTTATAATACCACATCTAATACATAAAGACCAGACTGGCTTTGTTAGACAAAGACAGACCCAAGACAACATTAGGAAAACATTACACATTATGAGAGAGGTAACTCAGCAAAAACTAGAGACACTGATATTAAGTTTTAGATGCTGAGAAAGCATTCGACTCAGTGAGGTGGGCCTTTTTATATAAGGTACTCGCAAAATTTGGATTTCATGCAGCGATAATTGACACATTTAAATCGCTATATACTAATCCAACGGCTAGAATTAAAATTAATGGAGATTTGACCAATTCATTCACTTTGGAAAGAGGAACGAGACAGGGTTGTTGTGCGTCGCCGCTCCTCTTTGCCTTGTTTATTGAGCCCATGAGTCAGCTGATCAGGCAAAGGCCGGATATAAAGGGGGTTATAATGACAGCTGGGGAGCAGAAACTATCTTTATTCGCAGACGATTTATTGATGAGTATAACACAGCCCACACAGACAATCCCCAAATTGATGAAGTTACTTGAGGAGTTTAGTTTGATTTCTGGCTACAAAATTAATATAAACAAAACCCAAGTATTAACATTTAATTATGATCCACCGTCTTCTATTAAAACAAAGTACAACTGGAATTGGGGGGCAGAGTCTATCAAGTATTTGGGAGTCTCGCTGCCGAGGGACTTCTCAAAATTATTTGATCTAAATTATGGGCCACTAAATTTGAAAATAAAATCTACATAGATGGAATGTTATTCCCTTTTTAAGTTTAAGCTCCCGGATAGAATCCATCAGGATGAATATCCTCCCACAGTTGCTGTATTTATTTCAATGTTTACCTGTCAGAATCCCACCTAAACAATTTTTAGAATGGGATCGATTAATAGCGAGGTATCTATGGCAGGGTAAAAAGGCCAGAATTAAGTTTAGAACTCTGCAGTTAAAAAAGGAAAAGGGTGGAATGGGCCTTCCCTGCCTACGGGAATATTATCATGCAGCCCAACTGAGACCTTTAGTCTGTTTGTGCTCACCTGCATATACTGCAGCATGGAAGGAAATAGAAGGCACCACGATAAAAGGAATCCCAATAACAGCCCCTACTTAGTGATTATAAATTACAGGAAGAACAGCAGATACCAGAAGACTTCATAAGAGGCAGCTTCCTGAAGTCCTGGCAGGAATTGGTTAAAATCTGCAGAATCGGAGACATATCTAAAATTATGAGATGGTGTGCCTATGACTCGGATTTTGCACCAAACAGAACTGATAACAGATTCAAACTATGGACCTTAACAGGACTGACTACATACTATTCATTTCCCACAAAGGAAAATTTCAGAGTTTTGAAACCTTACAGAAGGATCACGGATTGGGAAAAGATGATTTCTTTAGGTACCTGCAGGTGAGACATTATTTTAATACAAATTTTAAAGAGGGGTTGAGAGAAAGTGATTCCAGTTTCATGGGTGCATTTCCTATCACTAATTAAACCTGGGTCAGAAAACAGAATCATCTCCAAATTATATAAAGTTATACAGCTATCTAAACAGGGGAATACAGAATACATAAAGAGGAAATGGGAGAAAGAAATGAAGACAACAGTCTCACAAGAAGACTGGGAGGAATATGTCAATTGCAATGGTCTCGACCGGATCAAACACATGGCGGGAGTTTTGCTGGAAAAACATTACACGATTTTTTGTTACACCCATTCAGAGAAGATATCAAAGCAATGGGGACTCCTGCTGGAGACTTTGTGGGCTTAATGGTGCCAATCACTTCCATATTTTTTGGGACTGCCAGATAATAAGACCATATTGGGAAGAGCTCCATAAACACATTGAAAACATATTTAATGTGAACATTCCATTTAAATGTGAAACGATGTATCTGGGCAACTTGTGGTTGGACAATTGGACCAACTCAGACAAAAAGCTGCTGGCTGTCCTACTGGCAGCCAGTAAGAAATGCATCACCAGGAAATGGCTGAAACCGGACCCACCTACTGTGGATGAATGGATTGAAATAGTTTATCGGATTTATGTTATGGAAAGGATTTCTTTCTCCCTTCAACTTGAAAAAGGTAAATTTTATAAGATCTGGACCAAATGGACTGAGTATGTAAACCAGTGAGGTCAGACTTCACTTGATTGTTCTTGTGAATTATGTGTACTACCCTTCGATATTCTTGAGATCTTCTATTGCTTGAAGTGGTGCGATTCCCAATTTTTAGTTATTTTTTATTATTATTTTTATTTATTTATTTTTTTTGTGTGTGTACAATTTTGTTCAAATTTATTACCGTTTACAACAAAAACTGTTAAAAAATACCAGAAAGGCAATATGGACAAAACCACCTGGATTCCATGCTTTCACCACATGTACGACCTCAAATGGGTAACACTATAATTATTGTATGTGATTGAAACTTGTCTTTCTAAATAAAATAAAAAATATTAAAAAAAAAAAAAGGGAGTGGTGTGGGCCGGCAGCGGGATGAAGCAGGAACACGTAGTCCCAGCTCTGCCAGTATGAATAGGGTCAAGTGTTAATGGCATGCTTTATGACATCAGAGATGTGGAAACGGATGATAATCTCTGACTGATGAACAACACACCAGAGTTCACCAGAAATCATGGAAAAAGCTAACTGGATTTGCACAATGGGCAGCAGCAGCACAACTCCAAGGAGGATGTTGCTGCTTCAACAGGTCCGTCTGTTCTGAAAAGTGCGGCTCGCATAGGACGATCGATCCGTCGAGTAAAGTGTTGGTAAGTCGGTGGAGCTACTGCCCTGCGGCCTTAATCCAACTCTTCCTTCTTCAACTAACCGACATTATGCCTTACCTTACACCTGAGGTATCCAAGTCCTCTTCCAGCCCGTCCGTCCTCCAATCGAAGAGAAAACTAGAAATCAGCTTGAGAAAAAATATTCCCCTGAGGGTGGACAGAGTCCTACGCTTTCATCGAGCAACAGGGGGAAACGAGAGAGAGAGAGAGGGCTGTAATCTCTCTCGATCCCACTTAATCCTGGGGAAGTGAGCTGCCTGCCTCTGGCCCCTGGAGGCCGGTTCCTCCCTCACCGGCTGGCTAGTTGCTGCTGAGCGGCCAAATCTTCTTAACCATTTCAGCTGTTAGTGGTAGCCAAGGAGAAGCTGTGGGATAAGGAAGCAAACGTGTCCCCCTTAAGGGATCAGAGCAAGGCTTGATACAACATCAGAGGAGTAATTACAGGAAAAAAAAAAAAAAAAAAAAATCTGCTAATACGCTTCAGTAGTTGGAGCCAAAGCTAATTTGTTCCCAGCTTCGATTCTCTAAGTAAAAATTAATTTAGCCTATTTTTTTTGTGCTGGATGTTTCTTTCTTTTAATTTCACGTTATTTCAGCATATATAATTTGTTTAATTGTTGAAACAACAAATGAGAAAAAAAAACCCTGAAGACTATAGCATGGAGATTTGTTTTAAAGCACTATAAATTCACTCAAGTGTTGATCTTCAGTCAATCATATTCACTGCGACTTTTTTCTTGTCGTTTAAAAGTTCAGCATATTTGACGGCATTTAAAAAGCAGGGGGAAGAAAAACAACAACAAAAAACACCAACTCCACAGCAACCTTTTTGTTTCTCTTTTTTTTTTTTACAAACATAAGCATGAAGTACAATCAGTTTTCATGCGCAACTTCAGCTCGAGTTAATCGTTTTAGACACAGGCAACCGTTGGATTGACACAAATAAATCAACTTTTCTTTTGTTTTTCTACAAAACCACGTAATTTCATCTCGCCATGTGGTGTTTTCTTCACCCCTCGAATCGTGATAAATTTTATTTTATGAAAGAATCCTCTCTTAAGTCAAGTTTCCCACACTGGAAGAGCTGACAAGATGCACGAGAAAGAATGAGAAAAGTCGATATTAACGGGTGGAGCAGAAACCCCATCCCTGACTGACAACGACACTCTGTGATTTATGTCGATTTTTTTTCCATTTAGGAGTTACAAACTTCCTAAATTCATAATTTTATACTCAATGGCATTTCAGATGACGAGGTTTGTTGAGGGGTTTTGACTTTTGCGGCGCTAAGGGTTTGATACTGTTCAGGTATGCGTGGGATCAAGGCTCAGATTGTCTAGAAGGACAAAAATAAAAACAATACACAAGTTAAACCTCCATACATTTTCACAAAATCACTTCTGTCTGGGGTCCAAAAGTCTTCCATTTAAAATAAAAGTCACTTTTTTTTTCTAGTTTGATTAAGAGTCACAGTCAAAGCAGTTCAGATTTATATATCTATAATTTCTCATTTATGAAATTGGTTTTAGCATTGATTAATTTCCTTTCCATTTCTAACATCCGAACTTTTGTCTTGCAGCCTGTTAATGTACAAACCTACTGTTTCCACCAGAGGGCGCAACAGTTTTGAGTTGACGGCGACAGCACTTGTAAACCGTGACACGTGGAAGCACTTCCAAATCCGTTTGCTTTTTCTGTTTTTGTTTAGCTTTTTTAAAAATATGTCTGCATCTTCTTTGTAAGTGATGTAGGTTCTGTCCGATCGCAGCACGACACCAAACTCCCTCTTCCCTTCGACACAACCAACAGTTGGCGATTTAATGTTTCCCCGCTCCACCTGGATCGAAATGGAAGGAAGCGGCTCGTCGCCTACACCTGCTCAGAGGCGAACGGTCGGAACGGACGAGGCGATGCTCGTCCACGTGACACCAGCTGAAGGACTTGCTTCCTGAGGAACGCGCCGTCGTCCTATGTCACCTTCTCGTGTTGGATCTGGTAGTAGCAGGCCTGCGGGATGGAGAGACGTGAGTGCGTGACCCGAATATGGATGCGAAGCTGAGAGCGCGTGGCCGTGCGTCACCTTCAGGGTGGTGAACATGATTCCGTGTTCGCCGTGCTGAACGCACGGATCCATCAGGTCTTCGATCAGGCTGACCTCTGAGCCCAGATTTCGGATTCTAAGGGGAAAACATGCAATGGTTTTAGTAAAAGGATAAAAACAGAGGATCACAGACATAGTGGTAAACTGCAGACCATCAATGGACTAAATCAGCTGCCTAAAGACAGTTTAAGGAGCAAGACTCAAGTAAATGGATAAATGGAGGAAATAGATGGACAGGTAAACGGTTGGTTGAATGTCTGGATGGTTGATCTCTCATAATCTCAAATTGAGTCGCTCGCACTGCTTTCTGTAACAACTGTTCTGCTTCCTCTGAGCCGGTCGGCGCCGTACCGGGCTCGCAGCACCACATACAGGAACACGGGAAACAGGTCGTCCATGGACCACAGGAAGTCCTGCTTCAGCAGAGACTGCACTTCCTGTGTGATCTCCTCGAAGGTGAGCTGGATCACCTGCAGCTTGTCCGACGGGGTGAATGTTGTGCTGCAAACACACAGGGAACAGGAAGCCTGTCTGCTCTGTGCTCATGTTAAGAGTTACCACAACAGTAGAGTTGACTTTTACCTGATCTGCTGTAGCGTTTCTACCGCCGAGGCAAAGCAGGCGTCTTTACTGCTTGAGATAACCTGCAGAACATCATCGTCAAAAGAGTCTTTAAAATGTAGACAGTTCAATTTGTTTCATAAGTTAAATAAATGATACCGGCAGCTTCTCTCCTGGAGCAGGCAAAGAGTTTGGGATTGAAACAGGCCAAAACTTTCTGCAACAGGAGAAGAAAACCTAATCAGGACACCAGGCCAGATTTCTCTCCCATGCGGTTATTAGTATTCAGATAGAGTGTGTTTTTACTGCTGGACGCCCAGGAAGGCAAGCAGGGCGAGGTCGGGCTGCTTGTTGAGGCGCAGGACACACTCCCAGTACATGTCGTCCTCTTTCTCCTTCTCCAGAGCGTAGAGAGTGAAGAGCGGAGGGTAGAGGCGAGGCAGCAGGACAGGCAGCAGCAGAGCCGAGCTACTCACCACGCGGCTGTAAACGACAGAATAAATCAAATTCAATAAACAAACGCGGTCGTCCTGATCCATTCCAGCGGTGAAAGCAGCAGCTCGGTTCGTACCCTGGTTTGGGCGACTCCGACCGGGTGTCAGCCGGCGTCTCCTGGTTTTCCTCTGGAAGGTTTGCGGTGGGTTCGGGTATTAGACCGCCCTCTTCTGGCAGGTCGGGGAAGAGAAATCTGCAGCGAATTTGACACAAAAAAGCCGGAAGATGAAGCGCACAGAGCAGCCGGGTTGTTTCTGCTCTGAGACGCTCCTGCTTGTACCTGACGATCTGGAAGATGCGGCAGAGGTAAGACTTGATCTCGTTGACCGCCTGAGGCAGCAGGCGACGGTTCGCGCCCACGCCAACGTAGGTCATCCTGTAAACGGTCACCAGGGTTTCCACCAGCCGGCCCAGAGGGTGGAGGGTGGTGTCACAAGCCTGAAACAGCAGAAGATGGCGCTGATGTTCAGCCGTTTGCTTGTTTGACAACCTGAAGCTAAATTCCCTTAGAGATGCCAAACTAACCATCATCTACATTTATATTTCTACAGAATGACGCCGGTCAGAAAATAAGTTCTTAGACATCTTACTTGTAAAAAAGTCAAAGCCATTCCTTTAGTTAGAAATAAGACAGGAATCATAAACAACTGTACAATATGAATGTCTTGGGTATGAAATATATTACTATAACCAAAAGAACCCAGGCAAAAAAAGAAAAAAACGGAGACTGCTAATACATCCTTGAGGGACACCACGATGGACAGCAGCTAGTCAATACTCTCTTTCATGGTTACAATTTCATCATGCAATTTTATTGACAAAAAAAAAAAAAACTGATAACCCATCAATGCTCATTCAGATATATATACCTTAGTGTAAAAAAATTTAATAAATGTATTTTGCAGTTTAAAAAGAAAGTCTGATGAACTCGCCTTGAGCAGGTACAGTCGGATGCTGTGATATCTCTCGATTGTGATAGGCCCTTCATGTTGGGGGATGACCTCCAGACCCTCCAGAGTCTTACTGTGACTCCGAGACAATACTTCTGGACTGAGAAGCAAAACCCAGGAATGCAACCTGGTAACTACTTTGATATACTTACTTGGTAACTAAGTCTTAAAAAAGGGGTCAACTCTCATTTTTTGGGTACCTGTCTTGTATCTGCTGCCTCCTGGAGGTCAGGGCCACGGCGATGTTCTCCCAGGCCTTCAAGTGCTCCCCTTGACCTGGTGCCTCGCAGCCCAGCTGATTCCAACACTCCTCGAACACCGCCTGCCACTTTTCCTCCGCCCTCACGCTCAGCCGACCCAGCTTCCTGAAACATTGCAGAAACCTTTTTAAACCACAGCAAGGCTCTTCATTTCAAGGATTTTCAAAACTACAAACGAGAGCTTACACGGCCCGGTTTCTGTCCTTTTCAGCGTCAAACAGGTTTGGCTTGAAGTAGGAGCCTGTCACTTTGAGGCCAGACCCCCACTCACCATTAAAGGAGCCCTCCAGGTAGTCACCATTTGGTATAGTAAGTATCCCCTAAGTCAGAAAGAGAGAGAGCGTTTTAATCTCTAAATAGGGCTCATCTGATCCCCAATGGTCGGCTTAGATCAGTTCACATTCAGACCACCTTTCCACTGAGGGTCCAATCATCAGAGAACTCCCCCTCGTAAGTCGTGTCGTCCTCAGACAGAAGGATTCCCGTACCCTGAAATATAAAAACCGCCCCGGATTTAACCCCGCTCTCACATCCGTTTGTTTTTAATAGCCTGTTTGCTAGAAATTCTCACCATCATCTTGTTGTCTTTGAAGGCGCCTTCGTAATACAGACCAAACTGGGTGACGACAACCCCCTTCCCCTGCCGCTGGTGGTCCTGCCACATTCCCATGTACTTCTCCCCTCTTCAAAGACAAAAGCACCATCTGAGCAGACAATCCTTTGTCAACACGCGTGGCAGAAACGATCTCGGGACGTTCCGAGCGTTACTTCGTGATGTCGTCAAAGACTCCGTAGCCCGTTTTCTTGTCTTGTAGCCACTGTCCGATGAAGACGCTGGGGGATGAGGTGTTGTGCTTTCCGCTGCGCAGCATCCCGTGACCCTGCCGCACGCCGTCCTGGAAGGAGCCGTCGTAAACCTCGCCGCTTGCGTACCTTCAGCCACACAGACGAGGCTTAGGCTC